CGTATCTGATGACGTCTCTGAAGACGGGTTCGAGCTGGAATCCGGAACGTCAGAAGGATACGGTGTTTGTTTCAGCGAGCGCGTCTAATTCTAATCATAATTACTGTCGAACAGAAGGCAGGCCGTAACAGCGCACCCAGACGCAGGCCGCGCTGACCAATAAGCCTAATTCTTACCAACTGCTTTACTGCAAAACCAGGAATCTGAGCTACGATGGCTACAATTAACAATATTCAAACTCATGTGAAAAATTCGCGGCAAAATTCTTATTTGCCGAGAGACTTAGACATCGTTACTCCCATAATTGTGTCGTACAAGGCGGCGTAAATAGGGGTTTTATGTTTGATGCATATCACAGGAGATAAAAAAATTAATTAAAAAGTCAAGCGTATAAAAGCAGAAAATAATGGAAAGTAATTATATAAGTAACCAAAAACGTCTGCGCGAAAATTAAAATGACAAATACAATCAGTCCAAAAGCACCTGTGAACAGGCAACAAACTATTGTCAACTCTATATCGAGATTTAGAGATTTAAATGAAACCATGAAAGATAGGCTTTTCCCCTATTTTTGAAACTCACAATAGCTATTTATGCAGTTGGAAGGATACTGCAGTACGATAAGCCGACACGCAACCGCATGTCGCCTAAAAAACTAAATTGATTTAAAAATTAAGCTGACTAAAACGTTAAGTAAAATTAAGCTAATAAACTAAATAATGAAATAAAATAAAACTAATAAAACTTAAAGTACCACAGGAAACTAAAGATTTCATATGTTTTGAGTGCAGTAATAAGGATAACTGCGCCTACTAAATTACACATAGGAGGTATATAAGCATATTTATCAAAGGACATCGGCATATGAGAATGTCACCAAATCCGCTTTATTGATCTGACTACAGGAACACTTTGTTACCTTTTTCCATGCAGCTCTTGGCAGTGGCAGTCAACCCTAGATGGCCCCAGATGTCTAGGCTCTTATCTGGCTCATAGCTGAAGACAAAAATCGAATCCTCTCCACTGCAGGTTTCCCCAGTATCTTTTGTGCCTTTCTTTCTCACCGCATAATTATTGAACGCCCGTCACACTCAACCCGTGATAAATGACTCATCAAGAGGAAATTAATGACTGTAGAGAAGAACATTACCGACAAAGCCAAGTGAAGATAATTGCTGGCTTCGTAGCCGTTAACAGCCAGTCACTGTGTAACTG